AAAAAAATGGAAACAAAGCTTTTGCAAATAGGGAAGGGTAGAGGGGGTGAAGGGAGGGCAGGGGAAGGGGAAAAAAATAAGAACCAAGATACTCATGTAATAGTACAAGATCCCAATGATGAATGTAACTGTATTTTATACTAAAATGTACCAATAAACTTAATGGGAAAAAAATTTTAAAAAATTAGTATGATCAGATCTGAAATTAGCATAGAGTATTCAAGGATACTGGGAAGATTTTAGCAAAATAGTCTTAGCATTAAATGTGCTAATTACTCCTAATTTGGTATAGAATTAGAGAGGAAACCAAAAGAAATTAAATGTATAAACTACATACAAACAAATGTCAAATACAAAACAAAAGAGATAGTGTAGACTTAAAAACTGTGTACTAAAACGTGTGGAATATGGCCAAAATAGTACTCAATGAATTTGTTCTAACATTTATTCTTTTTTTGATTATTGTTAGTTTATGTTTGCAGTATCTAATTATTATATTCTTTGTGGGGAGTTGGTACATGAACATAATCAATTCCTTTTCATCCCCTTCTCCTCCCCTCCCTTTATCAGTCAGTCCACTAGCCAAAAATAGTTTCCTAAGTACAAACTTTATGTGATGGAAGTCAGCTTGGTGCTTGAAATCACCACCCTAGAGTTATGTAAGAGGCAGAGAGCAATAGGAGGGGAGGTCAACAAGGGAACCAGGGCAAGACTGCAGAATACACGTTTGCTGATATCCCATCCGCTATCCACTCCAGGTCATCTCAATTTTCCTATGGTTGCCAGTGCAACAGCTCCATGCAATTCTATGAATGCACGATTATTCTGCAGTGTTCTTGAGGGGGTGGAAGGAGGGCATATGGTGCAGCCTGAGAAGGCAGAGTCTGGGCTCCTACGATAAAAGACTCTATCTTAAGGATGTGGCCAAAATTTCAAAATTATGTTCTCTTATCTGAATTCTTAAAGACAGTTGCTGTGTTCTATTTGTTTGTTTGTTTGTTTGTTTGTTTGTTAGAGGATCCTCTTTTTGGGTTCTTATGTATCCTGATTGATTTTCCCTTAGAATACTATATTCTTGATTTATCATCCTAACTCCTGAACTAATTCCTTTTCTTCTTTTTAAACTGGTTACACTATTTACTTCATAAAACAATGTTGCTTTCTTATGAGATGGTTAAATTCCTGAGCCCTGAATAAGAAAACTAAGACTAGAATATGATTCTGTCATTCACTATCTGTGTGATTTTGGCAAGTTTTAAACTCTGCATGTCTCAGATTCTCTATACATAAAAAGATTCTCCATATATAAAAAGAAGATAATATACCATATACCAAACCAGGAAGGGTTAAGCGAGATAATCTGTACCCTTGTAAATATTGATTAAAAGTTAACTATAAATGTTACTCATGCTGCCTTAACAGTAACCAAGGTACCAGTTGTTTTTGTTATGCACAGATATAAAACAAATTCTATTCATACTATACTAGACAGGATTTTTTAATTTAATAATTTGAATTTATCAAATCTTCTTAAATTTATCAAAGCCATTAAAATTTTTGTGTTTAAATATATCTACTTCATTTGGTGTTACTTATACTTAATGACCTTATATTCTCTTACATTACCTATATCATTGTTTAGGTGAAAAATAACCTAGGTAATAATTAAATTGTTTTGTAAAACTGAGGTACATCATTATTATGTCTGTTCAATTTATTATGAACATAGGAAGATGTATACTGAACTGGCTTATAATTCATGAAATGAGATGTTCAATCTTCACATTACACTCTACGCAAATTATAAAATCTATGTCTGCATTTAGGAAATTAATAAAAATTAGGAAGTATGAAAAAGTATCAGGAAGAAAATGCAGTGCATCTTATAAAATATTCCATTTCTATTATGTCCCTTTGATCACTTAATTTTCAGTAACATGCAATAAATTACAGTGTAAGTTTAAGTCACATATTTTCCATATGTGTAATAACATTGACCTTTATACAGTCTACATCTCATACTCAGCAACAGAGATAATTTTTAGGAGTATATATACATGGAGAAAAACAAGGTACAGAAATGCCTCTTGAATATCTCAAAGGGAACAATGGGGTTATTCAGAGCCCTTGCTTCCCTCTTAGTCCTATGCCTGCTGCAGGGCTCCAACGCTTCCCTAGTGCAGCTGAATGGCAATGGCTATGAAGACATCATTATTGCTATAGACCCTGCTGTTCCAGAAGATGGAGAGATAATTGAACAAATAAAGGTAAGGAGAAAGGGTGTTTGGTTTGAATTATGAAGAAAAAGTACTGACTGATTATTTTGGAGCTCTGAATGCTGCAGGAAGTTTAGAATCAGCTTGGTGCAGTGCAGACAGTGCTGGAGGGACAGAAGGAGATGGATGGAGTCCTGGGCAGGGTTCCACCCCGTTTCACCACAAGACCGAAGACAGGCTCAAGTCTTCCCTGAGCCTCAGCTTCCGCATCTGCAAATTAGCTCTTGGCCTCATATGATGTAAATATTGAATGCTCCTGGCATGTTGGTGTAGAGAATAGTGAATTAAAGAGAAAAAGGCCTCTGATCTCATAGACTACAATTAATAAAAAGGAATAAATTGCCAGGTGAGATGGTAGTAGGTTGCTGTGGAGTACATAAATCAGGAAAGGAGGACACAGAGTGTGAAGTGTGGCTGGAATAAGAGAATGGTGTCTGGGCAGAGACCGACATGAGTGAGGAAGAGGCCCTTGGAAGCCTGCAGGATGGGAAGAGCACGGAGGTGAGAGCCTGCTTGATGTGACAAAGGAAACAATGGTGAATGAGCAGAAGGAAAGGTTGGGGGAGCTGAAGTTGGTGAAGCGGCAGTGCCCCGACCACTGGGAAGACTTGGGCTTTTACAGGAGATGTGTGCTCTCGTGCGTGTTCTGGGGTCACCATGCCTGAGGCAGACGAAAATGGCGAAGGGTTTGCACTTCCCTCATCCTGTATAAACACTGTGGCCTCATAGAGGTGCAGAAGGACCAGATAGGGAGCGTGGACAGGTGAGAAGTGGTGGTGACTGGGGCAGGGAAGTCATGGTAGAGATCGATAAAGTTTGTGACTCTGAACATATTTTGAGGGTGTCATAGGCAATATTTCCTGAGGGTTTCGATATGTGTGGGGTCGGCTAGGGAGGGAGGAAGTGTAAGAGTTAAGCAGGCTTCAAAAATTTTGCCTGATCCCTTGGAAAGATGGAACAATCATCAACTGGGAAGAAAAGACTAAAAGTGGAAAAAATTTGGTAGTTTGCAAATCTAGATTTAGTATATTTGTAAGTAGATGTGCTTATCAGACATTCATAGAGATTGAAATAAGAATCTGAATTCAGGATAAAAACTTGTATGTAGATAAAAATTTGAAAGTCATCAACATGAAGGTGATAGGAGTGCACAGATGTCAGGAAGTACAGTAGAGTTAAGAGAAAGGCTCTAGGACTGACCCAAAGATTCCAATTTTCTAATTTTTTCTCACTTTGTTCCAAAAATAGTATTCCATGTAGTATAGATATTGCTATTCCAGCTACATGATTATTTTCCCTTTTCCTGACCTCAACACCTAACAATTCCTTACATTTGATTCCTCCTCTCCTGAGTCCTGATAATCACTGTTCACACCTTCTAAGGTACAGTTGAGACCTGGTGAATCCGTGGATGCCATTTATCACTCATGCTTTATAAATGCTGTTGTAGCACAGAACTGTTTGTTTATTGGTACCTTTTGACTTCCAGAAAAAAATGAAGATTACTTTTAGTGGTTTGAGGAGCAGACAGCACAGGTGATTCTGAGTGATAGACTTTCAGTGTTCAGAGCAAAAATCAGTTTCAACCCAGATATCAGTATTTTATAGAATTGTTTTTAAGGCAAAAAATTTCTTAACATGGACCTCTTTTGAATGGTACAAGTAGAAACTGAATTCTATTTTTTGCAGATATGCCTTGATTTCACAATGTTTCTTTTTTTAAAATTAATTTTATTGGTACATTTTAGGTATTCAATATAATTACATTCATCATTGGTGATTTGTACCTTTACATGATGTATCTTGATTCTTATTTTTGCCCCATTCCCCTGCCCTCCCTTCAACCCCTCCATCCCTCCCTATTTACAAAAATTTTGTTTCTATTTTTTCATTTTCTCATTTTAATTCCATTCCCTTCTTTCCTTTCCCCTACCCCTCCCACTTCCCCTTCCCCTTTGTGCCTTTCTTCCTATTTCACATTATCTATTATACATTTTGATCCTTATTTATATTTTCAGTTTCTCATACCAGAGAAACTATTTACACATGTGTGTGTCCTATTTATTTCACTTAAGAATATTGCCTCAATGTGCATCCATTTACTATAAATGTCTTTAATTACTCATTCTGTATGGCTGAGTAGTACTCCATTTTACATATTTAAAAAGAAACCCACACATTTTCTTTATCCAATCTCCAGTTGATGAGCACTTGGGCTGTTTCCAAGTTTTAGCTATTACAAACTTTGCTGCTATGAACATGGGTGCACATATATCACTGTGGTATGATTCTTTTAATTCTTTTGGGAAGATACCTAGCAGGGGACTAGCTGGGTCAAATGAGACAATGTTTCTTGATGTTCACCTTTGTACAAAGTATTTGCATTTATATCAAGTAACCTTGAGATATACTATGATTCACATTATACGGAAAAAACAGGGGTTCTTAAAAGCCCAATGATTTTGTCAAGGTCACATCAAGTAGGATAGTCAGAAAAAAAAAGAATGATAGGAAGGAAGGAAAGGAAGGAAGCACAGAGGGAAAAGAAGAAAGGAAAGGAAGGAAAAGCATAGAAAAGAAAAAAGCAGAGAAAAATCTTGTATCCTTAGGAAAGAAATGGAATTCTCTCATCTGTCTTACGTCAGTCCATCCCATTCTGGAGCTCGCCACAGCTCCTTTCCTCATTCCCTCCTAGTCCTTTTGGCCTTCAGTTCTTTGAACTCTGGCCTTCTGACTCATGGTTCTGAACCCAATCAGTTTACTGATTTTGTGTAGTAAATATGAGTCAACACATTGGACTCTTCTTAAAGAGAGCCCTGAATGAAGCCTAGGAATTTCTAAAGAACAGCTCTGTTGTAGGATCATGTTGAAGTAGTAAGCATCATGGAGGAGAAGCCTGTCGACCCTGGAGTCTGGGATGCTCCAGCAAGATGAAGAAGATGACATCATAATCTATTACCTAGGATTTGTCAATTATCTGATGGGCTTGATAACATAGAACAGATCATCCTAAATGCCTTTCACCCAACTATTTCTTTTTATAAGTTTTAGTTTATTAGTACACGTGTGTGTATTACGTAAGGTTCACATTCCTTGTGGGGAGTTGGTACATGTACATAATACATCTTAATTCCTTTTTCATTCCCTTTCCTTTTCCTACCTCCCCCCTCAACCCATCCCTTGAGCCCCTAATTTCTTTTTTTTTTTTTTGAGGAGGGTATTTGTAGTACATAAGGTTTCCATTCCTTGTGTAGAGTTGGTACTACATGTACCATGTACATAACACATCCCAATTCCTTCTTCTCATCTCTGATCTCTTCCCTCCCTCCATCTCTTGATCCCTGTGAGAACAGTCTAGCTCCCTACTCCTATTATCTATCTTTTATTTTAGTCTTCACCCAACTATTTCTCCCAACAAATAGTAAGCTGTAAAGAGGGGCAATTTCTCTTATTCATCATGCTAAATTTAGGTTCAAAATTATTTTCAGCTTAGTGGCATAGTAACAGTTTTGTGATCAAAACTGTATTTCTTCTATGCACTTTTCTATAACTGCACTCATCATATTCCCAACCCAGGTACCTCTCCTGTGAGAGGGGTAGGGAGAGGAAAACTCCTCCTAATACCAATTTCTACAGACTGTTTTCCTTAGCCTGCATCAGCTAAAGCGTTCTTCACCCAGATTTCTTCTATCAGAAATGATATCAGTTTTAGGACTGCTGATGTACAGAGTACATTCTTTCTGCCAAACATAAACACAAGTAGTGTAGCAATGGCCCATGAAGAGGTGAAGAAACTGAGTTTTGTACTACAAAAATCAAGCAAGATCTGCTACCCAAAAAGTGCTAACACCGCCAATGGAACCAAGGAAATGATTCCAAAGTCCATGTACATATTTATATTAATCAGCTCCTCTGTGTTAGTTATTTTTCTCTCATTCCTGAGACAAAATACCCAACACCCAAAGTTAAAAGGGAGGAGGTTTATTTTGCTTATAGTTTGTAGAGGTTTCAGTCCATAATCAGCTGGCTCTGAGTCTGGGATGGCAAACAAGCATCACAGAGGAGAAACAATAGAGCACACACAAGGTAGCAAAGGCAACAAGGGAGTTACCAGCATCTTTCTGCCCCTTTTATCTTATTCAGACTACTTAGGACAAGTAGCACTCACACCCTTAATCCTAGTGCCCTTGAGCCTGGCATTGCATCATGAATCAGTTCCAGCTTCACACACTCTAGATCAAGCCTATGACCACATGAGGCTTTGGGGGGACATCTAGTCCCAAACCATAACATCCTCTAAACCCCAAGCAGAGACAGTTGCCTTCAGAGGAAAAAGGAATGAAGGCCAAAGAGCTTTTCATTGAGCAGGATGAACTGATAGTTCAGGCTTGACAGGTGGTAGATCTGCTATTGTGGGCTATTGTGTTCATAAGTCAGTTGCTCTTGAATTAACAATTAAAGGTGGGAAATGCCTGAGATGAACCACTCCTCCCTTAATCCACTCTAACTGAACTGCTCCCACACACTTTTTCCCTTTGGTAATAGGCAATGGTAACCACAGCATCTACTTACCTGTTTGAAGCCACGGAAAAAAGATTTTTTTTCAAAAATGTGTCTATATTGATTCCTGAGTCTTGGGAGGGAAATCCTCAATACAGGAGGCCAAAACATGAGAGCTACAAACACGTAAGTGCCAAAATCTTCTCTAAGAAAAAGGAATGTTTTCTGATGCTTCCTAGTTTTGCAACAGATTCATTGTTTCTGATTCATTCTAACTAAATATTGTCATTTCTGTCCTCAGCATTTAACAACCTTTTTCAACATTCTCAGGCTGATGTTGTAGTTGCACCACCCACCCTTCCAGGCAGAGATGAACCTTACACCAGGCAGTTCACAGAATGCGGAGAAAGAGCAGAATACATTCATTTCACTCCTGACTTCATTCTGGGCAAAAAACAAAATGAATATGGACCATCAGGTAGGACATTTAGTCATAACATCTATTTTATTTTTTTGGTACCAGGGATTGAACTCAGGTCCTTGCACTTGCAAGGCAGGTGGCGGAACCACTGAGCTAAATCCCCAGCCCAAAACATCTAATTTTTAACCAGCAGGTTTGCCCCCAGGTCAAGTGAGAAGACTTAGGATCCAGAAACCCAAGGTTGTAATGCTGGCTCTTCTGTGTATTAGTTTTGTGTGAACTACACAAGTGAACTTGTTTATCAAAATTAATTCCCATCTAAATGTGAATAAAGGAATTCTTACATTTTGCAATTTTTTGAACTAGATAAATACATTTATGCATTTATGTAAACACATTTAATACATTTATGTAAATACATTTAATGCAATGGGTAATGAATGATGTCTTCCGAAATTTGGCCTGAGAGCAGAAATAATAACTATTTTCTTAAGGCATACTTTTTAGATTTGATTTTCCAGATCTCCACAGCTGGATATTAATTACTCAAGTGCCAGCTCCATAGATTTCAAGTGTGTAGTACACTGGAAACAGCCATGATATCAGTTACTTGTCAAGAGAAAATATTCATAGGCTGTAAATTGCTGACTTAATTATGTAAACATTTGTTTGTGGCAGATGGAATTATTTCTTATTTGGACCTACTAAAACTGCAGTTTCGTCTAGTTCAATCTAAATGTTAAGGCCATTTTTTAAACTTAAAGCATATAAATTTTATAAAGCAAATTATTGATAAGGATAGCCAATTCATATGTCACTATTCAGTAAAAAGTTTTATGAACCCCCATACCTCAGGATCATTTCTCCCCTCTTGATGCCACTGAAGTGAGCATTCATTCATTCTCTTGTCTCTGCCAAAGCTCACCTAGCCCTGATCATCATTGCCAAATTGTTCCTCCTGCCAACCTGAAAGCTCCATATCCCTTCCCATGCCAATCCTACATCTCCCCTACATCTTATCCTGACCAGTTTTGTTTTCCGTGGCCCCTCTATCCTTTGCACCCCCCAAGCCATTCCTTCTTTCTACCTAGCATCTCCAGCAAACAGTGCAGTTCCCCCACCACTCTTATGCTTAGCATTTATTTGACTTCTAAATCTCCAATACTTAATGACTCAGGCGGTCTCTGTCTCCTGTCTCCAGCTGTTACAGAAAATGACTTTTCCAATTTTTACGGCCAACGACCTCATCTGTGCTCTTGATCTTGCCCCACACTTCAGTCCTATTTCATTGCCAACAGGTCCTGCCCTTCCTCTTAGACAGGGCTTTATTCCATCAGGTGATCTATGTGTTTGTAAAACTCACATTTTGGAAACCATGACCTAAAAAGCTCAAGTTTTTGGAAAAGTAAGATGAGGAGGAAAGCCCTCAAAATCTATGCAGTTTTGTAATAATTCTAACAACAATGAGAATAGGTCCCTAGAAAGATTACTTGGAACAGTCAAGCAGCAACTTTGTGTGGCTAGAGGCTGCCATTGCTGATATTAAGAGTGTACAAACACACACACATGCACACGCACACACAAGAATGCTACTAGGATAGGAACAAATTAGCCAGAAATGAGACATCGATGTCCACGGGAATAGAATTCTCAATCTGAGGGGCTGCTTTTCTGGTGTACACGGGAGGCAGAGCAGGCTGAGGGGAGCAAGTCTGAGATTGGACTTGTGTAAGAAGAAAGCAGCAATTTTACGTTGTCTCCAAATAAGCTAAATTCCTGTTGCAGTAGATGACATGACTTTATGCTTCCATGCGAAGGTTATTGTCCCACTGTCACTTACCTGGCTTTGTTTACCAAAAAAAAAAAATTAAACCATTAATTTTAAAGTGTAGTGTGTAAAGAAATAATTTAGAGAACTTGCTACAGCGTAGACTCCCGATCAGTAGCTTTCAGGTGTGCTTGAGACTGCATTTCCAGCAAGCTTCCAGGAGATACTGATGTCCCTGCACTGGGCCGCATTCCAAGTAGGAAGGGCACAGAGTTCACCTCTGTGAACTCCTTGACTGTCTCCCCTATTACTGATATTTCTGCTCTGCTTTCAGATCTCCTATGAGGTTATTTGAGGTAGGGAAACACAATGCTGCAGAACCAGCTTTGTTTTCAGTCTTCCACTGTCTCCATTTCCATTTCTTCTGAAGTTTTCCCGCACATTGTTAAAACAAAATTTCTGTTTATTTTTCTGTATCTCAAGCTGTGGATTCACTTTTCTTCTTTCATTCTCTGGAAATTCTTGTGAAAAATGTTTTATTCTAACTCCTTCTCTGAAAACATCTCCAAGTTAAAGACTACTTTGTATCATACACATCTTTATATTTGTTAATACCACATACTGCACTTAATATTGAAAATACTGTTTTATATAAATAATGTTTATATATATGGTGAATGAATCACTTCATTTTTAAATTCTCAAAAGCCTATATGGCCTACAATAGTGTTTCTCGATCTTTTCTTCACTCTCAAACTTGTCAGGACCATTTTTAGAAATTTTTTCCTAGATTCATTCACAGCATATCTTAAAACAATAGAATTACTGTGTATCTGATTATGTTACTGATAGGGTTCAAGTTTGGAGATCCATAAACCATTGTAATATTTAAGACCTTCCAATCTTCAAAGACAGAAGCCCAAATCCTAGTCCATTCTAATCATAGGATATATTCCATGCATGTTTTATTGATTCAATATGTTGTAGAGTAAAAAGATAATATATGAGGTAACAAGATAATGTTATGTAGTGCAACAAGCTCCTTTTATAAACAAAAATATAAATATGAATTATGGAAACCTAAATATAAATATTTTTGTAACTGAAAGATCTTAAAATTTTTGAGATTTTGGTCCCTTGAATTTTGGTTACGTGTTTGAAATGTTCCCCCACAGGGAGGCTGCTTGTCCACGAGTGGACCCATCTCCGCTGGGGAGTGTTTGATGAATACAATGAAGATGAGCCTTTCTACATCGGCAAGTCAAAGAAAATTGAAGCCACAAGGTAAGGCTACTTAAATTCTCTTAGATAATCTCAGTCTTTTAATTGGTTTTATTCTCTTTACTCTGATTTGTTATAAATTACCAACATTTTTGCCTGCTCTAATGAAGATGATAGATGCAATATCACAAAATTGCTTTCATTTTTAGAAAGATTATCATAATCCAACTAGTTGTCTATTTAAAGTACACATAACTTCAATGGGAAGCATCTATTGACAATTTGACACATTTCATACCTGCCTACCATAGCTGCCAGAACTCATTTTGACTGAACACGTACATCATGTAGATGGACTTTCTGTACACTGGATGAAGATTCAAGTTGTTCCCATTACACCAAGAATGAACAAAAAGTAGTTAAGTACTGCTGAATGGTTAAGCAGCTTCAAGAAGCTAATTAGGAAGTTCTTGGAGCTATGAAAGTCCATGTTAAAATATTAATCTAGCATCATGGTTAATAATAAACTGTCTTATAAATTCTGAGATAGCGAAAGCAAGATTGGAGAGTCCATTTAAAATTAGGGGCCATTAACCTCATAATGTTATGTCCTGCTGGGGTTTAAGGAATTGTCAATAATGTACAAGCTGGAAAGCACACAGGTTCAATGAAACCCTTTCTCTACCCAGTTGTGCGAGTTTTTAGGAATATATTTTGAAAAGTGTTACATTGATTACATTTGTTTATGTCATATGCTTCCAAATAGCTTTTTCTCCTCTATGATATTCTTCATGATGGTTCAAATAGATGCCGCCATTATACTAACTAAGTTTGGAGAATAGTAGCATAGACATATTTAAGAGACTCCCTAAGGATTGAAGGAGATCTAGTCATCGTTTTCTGACTTTTAAATGAAAATCTATGGGAGAGATGAGTCATAGTCACATCCCAGCATATCTGCCGTAATATCTGCCGCCTATTGCCGATTCCATACAAGCACATGTTGGAAATGCTGCCATCATTCTTTATTCCACTGTCATTTTTTTACAGCTCCTCACTCTTTGCTTCCAGTCGCATTTCTTTTCAGATAAGAATGTCTTGAATAATTAAAACACTTGTAGCTCTGCTTTGTCCCACTTTTGGGGGAGGGTATATCTGTTTGAGAAATGTGCAGAGAACTTTGGAGAAAGTGGTTTCACAAGTTCCCTTATCCATGTGCCTGCAGTGCATTCACCAACATAAGGCCAGCAGGAGAGATCTGTGAGCAAGACCCTAGCAGCTTTAATTACATCCGAGAACTCAGTCACATATGGCACTTAAATGTTTCCATTTTACCCTCTTAAAAAATAAATGAGTGTTTTGATAGGAATTCTTAAAATTTGTTATGAGCATAAGAAGTAAATGGAACACACAAAAGAAACACCTTGATGTAAACATTATCATGAACAGAAGCTCTTAAGATTTTAAGAAGTATTAATGACTAAGTTGCCTAAATGATTAACTGTCACATATTTTCAGGTGTTCCACAGGTATCTCTGGGACAAACAGTGTTTATACCTGTCAAGGAGGTAGCTGTGTGACTAGAAGATGCAGAATAGATTCTGCCACAAAATTGTATGAAAAAGATTGTCAGTTCTTCCCTGATAAAGTTCAAACAGAAAAGGCTTCCATAATGTTTATGCAAAGTATTGATTCTGTAAGTATGCCGATCCTTGCTTTCAGAATTCATAATCAAAGCACATATCTGATTCTAATTGTTTCTTTTGTGGTTATGTTGATTGAATCCAGCCCCTTGAACATGTTAGGCATGCACTGTACTCATAGTGTTACATCCTCTACCCCCAACATATCTGATTTTAAAGTGTGTCCAGATACCAGGAGGATTAAATGTACTAATATAGAATTCTTTAGTCCTTGGACGAGACATTGTAAGCACTCAACTAATGTTTCATACTGTTACCACTTTGCTAGGTTTACATTAGTATAATACTGATTTGCATTAATTATATTTCATTCAATTAAAGCATATTTGCAGGACATGTTAATTTTTTCAGATTTATAGTGAAGTATTTTAATGTATTTTATAGTGAAATTATTTTTTTTATCTTGTCAACTTTCTAGGTTGCTAAATTCTGCAATGAGAAAAACCATAACCAAGAAGCTCCAAGTCTACAAAACCTGAAGTGCAATTACAGAAGTACATGGGAAGTGATCAGTGAGTCTGAGGATTTTAACAGAGCTATGCCTATGACAGGATTACCCTCTCCACCTGCCTTCTCCTTGCTGAGGATCAATGAGAGAATTGTGTGTCTAGTGCTTGATAAATCTGGAAGCATGAGTGTAAGTTTGGACCCATTTTTTCTGGGTATAGAAATGGGGATAATTGGCTCCTAGGAACACACTATACTCTACCTGTACCTGGATTATTTCAAATGCATGGTGGCATAAAGTACCACCATTTCTTGTGATCATGATCTCAAGACACTGGAAAACAAAAAAACCCTATTTCAGTGTAAAAGATGTCACTAGAATTAAAAAGAGCTTACCCGAGTGTTCCCATTTTTTCCCAAGAAGATGGATGGTTTACTGCAGAGAGTTTAAAGTCAAGCTTTATTTCAAAGGTCAGAAGTAGAGAATGAAAATTAAAATATTGTTGAACTGTGACCCTTTTTTAAAAATGCCTGAGAAACATGAGAATTGGTGGCTGCTAAATTCCGTTCCTAGTTTTAAAAAGATCAATCAGCAGTATTCCTAACATAGCACTATCTTATTTGTACCATCTGTATGAGTGACTTCTTCATGCTCCAAGTAACTAACAAAACATCACCATAAAGAATATATGGATAGATGCAGCCATGCCTTCCATTATCACTCAGTGAATGGCAGTCATTGCTCTGGGCTCTGAAAAGACAGATCCATGTCTGGAAATTTCATAGTTCAATAGAGAATGTTTTCTTTCCATTCTCCATTACCTGGTTAAGTCACACTTATTCCTCCAAAATTCAAGAGGAACTCATCTCTTCCAGGAGATAGACTGGGCTTACTGACTGTTACAGGCCCCTTATTTATTCCCAACATATTCCTCTACCTATCTCTATTATAGCATATAATTTTGAAACTACACATGTTCCTGCCAAATCGAGTGGGACATTCTCTAGGAACTGGATGCTCACCAGATGCATCTTTGTAGCCTTCATAACCTGGAACAGAGATTAGCACATAGGGTTGATCAATAAGTTTAATTGTTGCAATGAATGAACTACAAACAATGCAATATGATAAAACACTGAGAAAAATGATACAGTTGAAGCTAAAAAGCATGCTGAGACCAGAATAATTTCAGGCAATGGGGGAAATGTAGTTATTAAAAAGGACAAAAAATGATATAGATTAATGAATTGAGCCACAGTAACACAGGATTTCAAAAAGGCCAGCACAGGGCTGACACATACTCGTGATCCAGGAAATGTCACTAAGGAGAGGAGAGCTTCCTGACAGGGAGAAGATGAGCAGTTCCCTCTTGACAAGGTGATGGTAGATCCAGGTTCAAAGACAGAGCAAAGTGGTAGACAGCCTCCAACATGGCAGTGTAGGAGTTCCTCACAGTGATTTGACCCAGAGGGAAATTTCAGTACTGTTTGTGAGAAGGTGCCACCGAGGAGTAGGATGATGAGGGACTAGAGAAGATAAATGTATGAGATGTACATCCTGGGAAATCACCTAGGAAAATGGGTTGCAATAACTTTAAAAATGACTAGTTCCTGTTAATTTTACAAAACATTGGCTTTCAGTGTGGTATTTTCATACATCATATTTTGATCATATCCCATATAATCATTATCCTCCTGTTTATCCCCTCCCCCTTATTTTCTTCCCTTTGGGTCTCTCTTATACTTTCATACTTCTGTACCTTTTATTTTGTTTGTTTTAAAATCCATACAAAAGGGAAAACGTGATATTTGTCTTTCTGAGTCTGGCATATTTTGCTTAACATCACAAAATCTAGTTCCATCTATTTCCTGTAATAGACGTAGTTTCATTCCTCTTTATGGTTGAGTAATATGTATATATACCTTATTTTCTACTCATCCATTGTTGGACGCCAAGGCTGGTTCCATATCTTGGCTGTTGTAAATTATGCTGCAAAAGCACGGGTATTTAGGCATCACTATAGTATGCTGATTTTAATTCCTTCTGGCATCTAGCAAGGAGTGGTATACTTGTGTCAAATAGTAGTTCTACTTTTAGTTTTTAAAAGAACCTCCATATGGAATTTTCTGAGCACCATTTGTTAAAGAAGCTGTCTTTTCTCCAATGCATGTTTTTGGCCCCTTTGTCAAACCCAGGTGGCTTTAGTTGTGTATGTTTCTGAGTCCTCTGTTGTACTGCATTGGTCTACATGTTTATTTTTGTGCCAGTAGCATGTTGTTTTTTTAAATATATCTTTGTAATATAATTTGATGACTCCAGCCTTACACTTCTGGCTCAGAATTGCATTAGCTATTCTGACTCTTTTGTGTTTTCAGATGAATTTAGGATTATTTCTTCTAGTTCTATGAAGAATAGCATTGGCATTTTGATGGAGATTGAATTGAATCTATAGCTCACTTTTGGAATATGACCATTTCAGCAATATTAATTCTGTCAATCCATAAACATGGAAGGTCTTTCCATCTCCAAATGTCTTCTTCAGTTTCTTATCTTCTTTCAAATTTTCGTAGTAGAAGACTTTCACCTCCTTGGTTAGGTTGATCGCTAGGTAAATTTTTTTGAAGCTATTATAAATGGAATTATGTTCCTGAGTTCTGCAGCTGTTTCATTATTGGTCTATAGAAAAGCTATTAATTTTTGAATCTTGATTTTGTATCCTGTTATTTTGCTGAATTTATTTACCAGATCTAAAAGTCTTTCAGTGGAGGCCTTACGGCCTTCCGAGTATAGGATCATATCATCTGCAAATAAGGATAATTTGGGGTTTTTTCCTATCCTATTTGTATCCCTTTTATTTCTTCTCTTGCCTAATTGTTCTGGCTAAAATTTCATGTGCCATATTAATAGGAGTGGTGAGAATGAATATTCTTATTTCATACCTGATTGTAGAAGAATGGGTTCAATTTTCCCCTGTTCAGTATGAGGTTGGTGGTATGAATCTTGACAGGTAACCAAAGAACCAATTACAATCAAATCATTGGTGAGTAAATTGTAGGAAAAAGGAGTAGAAGAGAAAAGGGGAGGTAGGAGATGGGGTTCTCAGAATTCAGCCTCAGCTCACATAAGTTTTGCACTTGGGGTAGACTGTCCTCAGTGAATGAGGAAATTTCAACTCTGATTGAAGTCCAAAATATCTTGGTTTCACTGGTGAACATTGGTGACTTCATTTTAGGATAGCAGGCACAGAGGCTACGAATGTACATAGAGGACCTCTAACGTGTGAATCATGACCTCCATTTTTAAATCAATCTCTATCCTAGCTTCCATCTCTCACTTGAGTGTTTAGCAGCCAGAAATCATCTCTAGTTTAAAAGTATGAGCTCCTTACTAAACTATGTGTGTCCCTTAGTACACATAACTATATTTTTCTACTTTATCAATTGAAAAAAGAAAATTGATTTTTTTCAATAATACCAATTACCATTGAAAAATTTTTACCAATCAATTGTATATACTCATTATGTGTGATGCTACCTTTTCTTTCTTTTTTGGTACCGGGGATCGAACTTGGGACTTTGCACTTTCGAGGCAGGCGCTGAAACCACTGAGCTAAATCCCCGGCCCATGTGTGATGCTATCTTTATTTGAAAACTATTTGATCGTTTTCTTGTTCTTTTTTTATTCAGCTTGAAAACCGCCTGAATCGAATGAATCAAGCAGCAAAACATTTCCTGCTGCAGACTGTGGAAAACGGTTCCTGGGTAGGAATGGTTCAATTTGATAGTACTGCAAACATTAACAGTGAGTTAATACAAATAAGAAGCAACAGCGAAAGAGACACCCTCGTGAAGAGCTTGCCTACACAAGCTATTGGAGGAACTTCCATCTGCACTGGAATTAAAACTGCATTTCAGGTAAAAATCATAATGTTAAATAAATGATAATAATACTATAATTTTTTGAATTTATCTTGAATTACACACTTCTTTGCTGTACGTGTTAGCTGTGTCTTTGTTGCTCATCTATCCCTCGGTCTCTAACCCAAATCTTGGTAAATATTAAATTGAACTCAATTCTTTCCATGAATGGAGGAACTATGCAGTTCCCACCGCAGTGACTCACACATTGTAAGCACTCAGTGAATAAACTAATACAAGAAATTGAGAAGTGAAGAAAGAGAGCTCAACTTGGATTTTCATTTTGCACTCTAATATGTAGGAGAAATGTGATGGGGATGTTATATTACTGCCATAAATGTTTGAAAGCCTTTCTCTATTTTTCAATTTGGTTTCAATGCATATTTGAATGTATTTTTCATATATATGTCACTTTGACTCACCATGTGAGAAATTTCTAATGAGGACAGTGAATTTTTTCTCTGATACCAACTTCATTAGGGATTTCTACATCTCAAACCCTCTTCTACAAATCTACGAATACCTCTATTCCAAGTCCAAGGAAGCCACTGGTGATCTGGCATTTTTTCTCTTTTGGCTTGGGATCAGTTTCTCAAAATGGTCCTCAAGGAAGCCATTACAATTAAAGCAATCAGAGAAAATAAAACATAATTGCAATTTTGAGACAAATTCTTTTTATCCTGTAAATGGACAGCTAGATTCAGAACCCTGACTTTTTAAACTGTTGGAATTTTATAAGAAAAGGATTCAAGCTACAAGCAGAACTCAATAAATATTATTCATTTGGTCTTTGATCAACACTAATATGCTTACTTTAGTGCTTGTTACTGCTAAAGGTAAATTAATAGTTATGTAATAACTCCCTAACTTCACCATGTTTAGAACTAAGCTTATCTTTCACTTACAAGCATGCTGGGGATTTGCTATTTTGGAATCTATAATGTTTTATGTTAAGGTGGATTATTAATGTGTCTAGCTATATGTACCACAGACTTTATATAGTGAAGGCCTCTCAGAGGATAGTCAAGACAAAAAAAGTATTTATAGCCACATCTTATAAATGTATTTTGGTTATCAGAACCACCTGAGTTTCCTAGGCTGAGAGGGCACCCTTGATTAATGTAGGCAGCATTTTCCAAAGCCCTGCTCCCACCAGTGTTCATTTGAATCAATATTCCCTGCATCATGAAGGTAGGAAAAAATTAATGTTTCAGATCCTCTAGGACAACTAGATGTGTTGGTCCATGCCTGTAATCCCAGCACTCTGGGAGGGTGAGTCAGACAGAAAACAAGTTTGAGCCCAAATGAAGTAACTTAGAGAGACCTTGTCCCAAAATAAGAAGTAAAATGGGCTGGGGATATAGTTCAGTATAATGACCCTGGTTCAATCTTCAGTACAAAAAAAAAGAAAAGATAACCCAGATATTGTTATTGTAGATTACATGATTTTAAAACAAAGACTCTCTCTTCTATTCTACACATTTATTTTTCTCTGCATTTTTCTACTTTTACATTGATCTGTTTGATCTACAATGGTAATTGTGTCTGAATTCTGTTTGCAGGTGATTAGAAACAAAGACTTCCAATTAGATGGGTCTGAAATAGTGCTGCTGACTGATGGGGAAGACAGTACAGCAAGCACCTGTATTAATGAAGTGAAAGAAAGCGGGGCCATCATTCATTTCATTGCTCTGGGACCACAAGCTGATCAAGCAGTAATACAGATGAGCAATGTAACAGGTTGAAATATGGTTTACATATTCCAGGCTTTTGATAGGAATGTGTCTATGTCTTGGTTGATAACTGCACTTTCTTTTGAGCTCCTGCTCTGAGGCTGCTGTGCCAGGAACTGGAGATGACACCCAGTCTCTGTTCTCATGGTACTCAGAGACAAGTTGTATAGAAAGACAAATAAAACTGCTAATCAAATCACACAACCAGATAAGATTTCTTCATAACATAGGAATATAGATTAACACCAGTATTCTGTTTCTGATTAACTTTGTCTCCAAAATCTAAGTGCTAACTTTGTTAAAACTGTACCTTTAATAAAAATGAATACTGCTATAAAGGACTGTGTAGACTGTGAGCTTAAATACACAAAATTGTAACATATTCTTTCATTGTCTGATTATTTGATATATTTAATCTAGTTGAGATTTTGATATTGAGGTATTAAGATATCTTTTCCTTCCTAGTTATGAGATTTTATATTAGCATTTTAGAATTAATCTTTCCAGAATACTTTGTACTTCAATCAGAGCTGAAATTGCCACATTCCCTGAGTTCTAGTCTAGCTGTCTGACATGGATCTCTTTTAATAGTACATACTGAAACTATGACTCTCTTTAAACTGTTGCCTTATTAATCACTGAAATGTGTAAACACTTATTTTCTAGGAATTAACCTAGCTCGTGCATTTACATTTTAGGAGGAAATCATTTTTATGCTTCAGATAATGCTGAGAACAATGGACTCATTGATGCTTTTGCAGCCCTTACATCAGAAAATGCTGATCCCAGTCAGAAGTCGATTCAGGTGAGAGTTCCCACGGCTAGGGATTTTGTGCTTGCATTTACCACAACTGAGAAAAATAATTTGGTTGCTTTTATAATCTTTTCAAAGTGAAATTTTAATTAAAATCAAAATCTGAAATAGATATAATTCTTTACATATAATCAGATTAAGTCGTGAAATGAGAGTAAATTATGCCAAGAAATAGGAAACCATTTTTTTCATATTGCCATAAAGTTTAGTTGAAAAGTAGCATCAAAATCTAGTAATACCAATTTTTCACCAAAACTAGACTTTGTCCAAAATAAACCACCCAATTTTTTAAAAATGTCATGCTTCCAAGCTTGCCTTACCCTTTACTGTTGTGACATAGTTTTGACAAATGAACTCAAGCATCTTGTTTGGAAAGGAAAGGACTGTACCTTGGAAATAAATACAAATATAGGGCAAGTAGTTATTGCATCTCTGCAAGCTTAAGGCTTCTTTCCTCACTTCAACAACTTTTTTCACGGGCTTTTTATTTTATTTACATCTTTCTGAACTTAATTCTTTTCTGACTTGTGTCTCAATAGCATCACCATTTATCTATGATTTCAAAACTTTGATTAAACTTTGGTTAGTAATTCATACCTCATGTATGATATCAGCACAGCCTGCTTCTATCAAAATATGTTTTACAGAAATGTTTCTCTTCTTTCCAGGTCACTCTGTCTTTGTCATATTTCTTAATGACAAGATTTCTGTCTTCTGTTTTCCATTTTATCAAAGCTTTTGCTGTATTAAAATGTGCCATGACCACCTAAACAAGTCTATTTTCCTCTACTTCCCAGCAATGAGTGCAGAAATTACAGGACGTGGACTTAGCATATGTACAGACTGATTTGGAGATCTAATCTGTGGATTTACCCTGTAATAGGTTAAAAATTTCATCTGAGATCTGGCCTGTCAGTGAATAGGAGAAAAAAATCAAAAAGTTTGGGTCATTTCTGAGATTTTTCAACCTGGTTGATAGAGAGAATAATACTTACTGTGTGAAATTGACTAGGAGGAAGAACTGGGTTTTTTGGAAGAGCTGATTTTGAGAATATTATTATGTACTCAGTTGTCCCTTTAATAATTTTGAATGGATGATAGTAACTCCAAATGGAATATCCCTAGGACATTTAAAAGTATAAAAACAGAGTATAGGGAATCAGCTTGAAAGTAGACTGTTATTTAGCCAAATGATGCCATATGTGATAAATGTATACATTTTTATCATTAAAAAAATAAAGTACAGTGGACTTAGAAACTCTATCAGTTCTTGAGGGCTGATTGTACAGCTGAGATCTGGATGGTTATCTGGGTACACGCTATAGATAACAAGAAGCAGATGAATCTTCCATTAACCTAATTAAGCCAAGTTGTTTGTATGTCAGGCTGGTTGTAACTTCAGGGTCCACTGTAATTCACCAAAAACATTGGCTTTCCTACACTAAATGCTATCAACAAAGGCTTGAATGACTTCGAAGGTCCTAACTTTTCCTTTCATTCTTCTTAGGATATCATCTTTCACACATCTGTTTGCCCTTTTCTTGAACACATTTACTGTCCAGTTTCTCACTATCTTTTGTGAAAAATTATTTCAAGATTTCACCTCAAGAAAATATCCTTGAAAACTTGTCTCAATTATTTATTAGTTCTAATTTTATATGTGAGGCCCTCCCTGTGTCTTATTTGTCTTAGTTACTTTCTCATAGCTGAGACACAATACCCAACACTCACAGCTCTAAGGAGGAAAGGTTTATTTTGGCTCACAGTTTATACAGGTTTAAGTCCATAGTCAGCTTACTCCAAAGCAGGGTAGCGTGGCAAAGGAGCATGACAGGGGAGAAAGCTCATGGCATGACAGGCAGGAAGCAGAAGGTGATCAAGAGAGAAGGGAAGGAGATATACCTTTCCACCCACACACCCAGTGACCCATCTCTTCCCGACATCACATTTAATATAAACTGCTCAGTGGTCTAATCCACCGATGAGAATCACACCCCATGATCCAATCTCCTCCCAAAGCCCCATCTATGATCACGTGAGGCTTTTGGGGGAACATCTAGATATAAACCACTACATTCCCTCTCTGACGCCCTGAAGACTCATGTGCATCTCTTTATGCAAAATCCATTCAGTCCATCCCTAAGAATTGGCAAAGTCCTAATAGTTTCATCATTGCTGAAAAGTCCCAGTCCTAAGTCTTCTCTGAGATTTAAGGCAAATTTGGCTGTGAGCCCCTGTACAATCAAAAGAAAGTATTTCCAAGAAACAAAAGCACAGGGTAAACATTTCCAATCCAAAAAGGAGGAATAAGGGGAATAGAGAGGAATAGCACCAAAGCAAACAGCAGGGCAAACATTAAATCCTATAACATTAAATCCGCGACAAGCACCCTGGGCAAATAGTGGTGAGACGTGAACTCCAAGAGCTTGGGTGGCCCTGTCCCTGTGGCACTGTTATTGGTTATAACTATCATTGCCTCTCTGTCTTGTGTCAGCTTTTCTCACTACTGGTGGCTTTCCTCAGATACTCCACATTCCTGGCTTCTCCAGTTTTCTGGGCCCTCTTTTGCACTTTGAGCTTCACACTCACTGGTTTACAAACTACCTTCTCAGGGACACACTGCCTGGCCTCTCAGGCCTTCTGATATCTTGGTGGAAGCCTTCCTTATCCTCAAAATTCTTGCATTCTGCATGCACATCAAACCAGCACTAGTGGTTGGCGCTGAGATCTACCTTCATTTTGAGCAGTAGCAGAGCCTTTTTGCATCATGCTGGGGTTGCAGAGGCATCTGAGTACCTGGATGGCTGAGCATGGTAAACTGAATCCTGAGGAATTAATTTTCCTTTCCTAGACTTCCCACCATTCTGCAGCATGGTCTGCTGGGGCTCTCTTCTCAAAGCCAAGTTTTTCACCTTTGCAATTTGAGCCTGCAGAAGGTGGGGCCTTACTGGCTCCTCACATTCCCTCAAGGCATTTTTTTTTATTGTCCTGTTGCAAAGTACTTGGCTTTTTTTCAATACTAATCTTTTCAGCAACCAAGCTCTTCCCTGCTCCATCTTTGCAGGGACCAACTTTTGCAGAGCTTCCTCTCTGGCTAAACTAAAAATCTTCTGCTGAGCTGTTTGCTCTCAATTATCAGTGTAGAGCTGGCTAAAAGGCCCCCAAATGGTACTCAAGCCACAGCCTGAATGTTTGCTTGCCTTAAAATTTTCTCTGCCAGATTAATTTATTCACCACCCTTAAACTCAATCTTCCTCAAAGTCTTAGGACATGAGCAAAATGCAGACAAGGTTTTCCACCAAAGCGTAACACATATGACCTGGAGTCCAACTACCAATGTAGTCCTTGTCCACAAATGGAACTGCCTGAGCTTGGTCTTTCTATCAGCTGCATTTCTATCAGCAAGCTGGTGTCCTGATCTCCAACCAGAATCTCCTATCATGCTTGGCTCACAGCATTCTAGGGCTCCTTCTTCAACCAGCATCTCCAAATTTTTCAAACTCCTCCTCTAAGCCAGCTCCAAAGGTGGCTGAACCACAGTGTCAGGCAAGGTCATAGCGATGACCCCACTCCTCTAGCACCAGAATTTGTCTTAGTTTCTTCCCATTGCTGAGACAACATACTCAACACCCACAACTCTAAGGAAGAAAAAAGTTTGTTCTGATTCACAGTTTGTAGACGTTTCAGTCCATAGTCAGCTGTGGCTCACGTCCATGTACCCAGTGACCCCTCTCCTCCCGACATCATATTTGGCTACAAACTCATCAGTGGAACAATCCAGTGATGAGTATTACACCCCCATGGTCTAGTCACCTACCCATAGCCCCATCCATGAGCACATGAGGTTTTGAGGGCTCATGTGGATATAAACCATGACACTACTCAAATACTCTTCTCCGTAAATATCCATTGAAAGTAATGAAAAGTAAACTGAGGGTAATTCACACACACACCACACTATAGCTAATCTTTCTCTGTTACTGTACCTCCCTTTAATACTAAAGACTATAGTGGATATTTTCCTAGAAAACTATAGCAAAAATGATAGAATCATATTTCCATCTATGAAATCCATGTTCCTGCTGTAAGGCTTTTATTATACAGAGTCTTCCTTCAGTGCCTATAGTTCCTCTCTTTCTGGCTGACAGTTGTTGCATCTCAGTCAGGTTTTGGAAAGATCACAAGTTTAAGGTATGCCATATATAAGCTTGTTTTCAGAAAATAAATTGCGAATCATCTTTAAAAGAAAAAAGAATAATAAAATTAAATAGAATAAAAGAATTCTTGTCTGTATTCATTAATTTTTAAAATATATTTAAACAGCTTGAAAGTAGAGGATTAAAACTGAACGATAATGCCTGGATGAATGACACCGTGGTAATTGATAGCACTGTGGGAAAGGACACGTTCTTTCTCATCACCTGGATGGTGCAGCCTCCCAGTATCTCTCTCTGGGATCCCAGTGGAACACTGACAGCAGGTTTCGCTCTGGACTCTGCTTCCAGAATGGCCTATCTCAGTATCCCAGGAAATGCACAGGTAAGTACTCACCTTTTAGACTTCCTCTGCCTTTTTAAAGTTGAAAACTATTTAAAGCCATATATGTGAATGCCAATAATTATATAAAACATGAAATTAATACAAAATACTATGTAATCTCCATGTTGTATGATTCTGAAAGTACTAAAGGCAAGAAAAAGGAGAAAAGAGCTCATGTATCAGGTAGAAGGAAGAGAAAGTAGTCCAAGAATAATTCTACAGAGGAAGTATGGGAAGAGTCTGAGCAACTCAATGTGCAGATTTTCCTTAAAGTTAATGAACAAGGCCAAAACCAAGGCAAACTTGCAAAATGTATTTTTCCAGTTGAGATGTCATACAGTATAGACACCATGCATGCCACTAGTCGGGGTGCACTGCCTGAACTGTCTCAATTTACACCTTTTTAAAATCTCAAAAACATCAACCACCTGTTTATTCTACTCCATGCCTCTATGATGTATTTTAGAACTGCATAATCAGATCACAGAAAATAGCTCGACAATGGATACTATTTTTCCACTGAACATTGTAGGTGGGCACTTGGACTTACAGCCTTCAAGCCAAAGCGAACTCAGAAATACTCACTATTACAATAACTTCTCGGGCAGCAAATTCTGCTGTGCTTCCTATCACAGTGAATGCGAAAATGAATAAAGATACAAACAGCTTCCCCAGCCCCATGATTGTTTATGCAGAAGTTCAACAAGGGTTTGTACCCATTCTTGGAGCCAGTGTGACTGCTGTCATTGAATCAAACAGTGGAAACACTGAAGTTCTGGAACTTTTGGACAACGGTGCAGGTAATTCACAGGCTTTATGAATGAGCCCATGTTTTCATTACTCAGGGTATGTAATGGGTCCCTGTTGCAGTGTTGGGCAGTAACACAGGAACTCAACAAATTGAGGGAGATTATGGAGGAATAGAAGGGCCAGCAGAAAATTTTATCAGGTAAAACCTATAAAGTGCTTAGCAAGTGTGTTCCACATGGCCAGATGGGGCTAAGAGGTAGAACCTGGGACTCTGGCAGGGAAAGGGAGAGAAGCAGGTGTAATTTCTGACAGTGGGAACAAATACAAATACAGTCCTAAAAGATGCATCCTAGGGACACTTAGAACTGCCACAAAAGAGGAAGCCTCATCACTGAGGCATTAGATACCACATCTGACTGGCAGGAAACAAGGAACAGTGCTGGCCATTATCTGTCTTCCTGTTGTGTATGGGTAAACTTCTCCAGGGTTTGGATTTTCCAGGAAACTGAAACTTAGATTAAAAATTCAGTGGGGGGGGGGCTCAGGAGTGGGGGGCAGATTTAGCTCAGTGGTTTTGCCGCCTGCTGCGCAAGCACAAGGTCCCGAGTTCAATCACCGATAACAACAACAACAACAACAAAAATTCAGTGAACAATATAATTTATTCTGTTATGTTATAGTGGTATCTTCAACTACAGTTGGCAAATTGTTCTCTGGTGTACTTCAATGTCTTTTTCTATAACTATTCCTTCCCTTATGTACAAAACTATTATACAACATTAAAACTTACCTGCATGTTGTTTAATTTCTTGGCATTTTGTCAGATGAATATTTGGCTAATTGTGAAATTAGCTGATTTAGAATGCCTTTACCTAAGTAGGTATTACTGATTAACAATGGCTTAGAGCAGGCAGTCTTACACTTTAGTGCAGAGATGGCGAACCTTTTAGAGATGAGTGCCCAAACTGCAACCCAAAGCCCACTTCTTTATCACAAAATGCCAACACTGCAAATAAACCTGAATACTGAGGTTTTAGTTTAGAAAAAACAATGCAAACATTAACATCTATTGTCTTAAAAGTAAAACAAATAACACAGATGCCATAGGTTCCCCACCACTGCTTTAGTGTGTAAAGGAATCATCTGGAGGCTTTGTTGAAACATACTTCTGAGGCTTTCCCTAGATAGTCTGGGAAATTAGCACATCTAAAAGTCTCTAGTTCTAAGCAATACTGATAATGCTTGTCCAAGAGCTGTGCCACACTTGTTTAAGATCCTCTGACATAGAATGTTAAATGTGCTTGGAAATATAATTAGCAATTTAATAGATGACTCCAATGCTTGTCACAAAGTATACAGTACTCTCAAGCTCTCCCAAATTTTTCTTTAATAGTAATAGTGTTTTCCTCTGCCAGACTAAAGAGTTAATGTATGAGGATAACAAGAGCAGAGAAAAGTAAAAAGGAATTGCTGAAGATAAGGTAAAAGGAGAACTTTCAGTTGAGGATACGAAAACCTAAATTCTCCAAAGGATAGTTTTTTTCATAGTTAGATTGATACAGAGGGACAGCACAATTAATTTCATAATATAAGCAAACCATTGGCAGAGAAATGGTAAGAGGTACACTATAAACTATACAAATTGATAAGGGACAGAAAAATGTGATGTGTAACTATTTATTATAAGTACACAAATAAAAATGTGTGTATATATGTTACATAGGTATAAATATATAGATACTAAAACTCAAAGGCATCAATTCATCAGCATATTGTTTTAGCAGAGCATTACAGAAATATTCTCCAGAGGATTGCTCCCAAAATACCTCACTCAATCTAGAGGATATACTTATTGAGGCCAATGGTTGTCATAGAAAATGCATGCATTTATTGTTTTATTTACAATAATAATTTATTGTTTTACTTGTGATAATTTTTTTTCCATTTCTACAACTAGGTGCTGATGCATTCAAAGAGGATGGGGTCTACTCCAGGTACTTTACAGGTTATTCAGAAAATGGCAGATACAGCTTAAAAGTCCAGGCTCATGGAGGAACAAACACTGCCGGGCAAAGCTTACAGCATCCACTGAGTAGAGCCGCTTATATACCAGGATGGGTGGTGAATGGTGAGTACTTCATCATACCTGAAACCAGTGACAACTGGAATAATATTTGGAATTGATATGACTGAGGTGGGGGTACATTTTATAACTTAACTTTACAATTCAATATAGATTTCCTAGTTCTGAAATGAAATTCTCCAAATTTGCTTCCAAATTCATCTTTGGAAAAAGGTCAGGCACTTAGTAAGTACACCAAAATGCCAGCTAGTATTATGTTGCTTTGGAACACCTTAATGATATCAATAATAATATGCCCAATTTTCAGCTCCGGACAGAGGAAACAATTTAATATATTATGAGCATTATTATAGAAAGAGGCAGGATTTATCCTTCAGATTATACATATTATAACATTAAATATTTATTTGGAATGTTTTACTAGGTCAAAAGAAAAAAATATGTAGAGTAAGGTGATGCCGAGCATGCACACTGCATTCTTTCCTGCCCTTCCTTTTTCTGGTCCCTTATCTTGTGACTGTTCAGGGCTTTTGCCAGCAGTTGCAATACCATTAGCATTTGCAGCAGGGAAAGAAGGACCTGGCCAAGTGGTTGGAAGGGAACTCCAATGATTTTCCCAGGTATATTTCTAGCTTGGAGATAATTTGAGAAAAAAAGAAACAGTCATTAAAGGGTAGATATTTAATTTTATAATATTATTCTCATTTAGTACAGTCTTCATTCCAAAGCAATTTGTTATCTATATTTATCATACAACATCCTATTTCGGCTACTAATGACAGAATCCCCACATCAATTTGAAGCTTAATATTGTGTCATAAGACTTAGCAAAAATGTATCTGTGTGTATAGAAGAAAGAAAAAGACAAATGAGATAAGGGAAGTGATTCATTATGCTGTAAAAATACCAGTTCCTTTTTGCCCATTTTAAACTAGAGATTATTTAATGTAGGGAAAATTGAAGGAAACCCACCAAGACCTGAAGCTGATGAGAATACTCAGACAATTTTGGAGAATTTCAGCAGAACAGCATCTGGAGGTGCATTTGTGGTATCAGAATTTCCAAGTACTCCCTTCACTGACCCGTACCCACCAAGTCAAATCACAGACCTGGATGCCACATCTGAAGGAGAAGAGATCACTCTAACATGGACAGCACCAGGAGAGAATTTTGATGTTGGAAAAGGTAGGAACAAAGTGTCATGTGGTTTATTCACGTGGTAAAAAAAAAGCTCTTTGCAAAAGGAAGGGTGTAAAGGAAAGGTGGGTTAAGAGAGAACAGTATCTAACTGGTAGTTCAGCAAACTTTAAAATCTGATATTTTTAATCAATCAAACATGACACATTTTACCCAGGCCCTACTTCCTATGCAAACGTAGTAGCATTTGGCAGAATTTAAAAGTGAAGATGTAGCTTTTATTAAAAACACCTATGTCTTCTGATATAAGGATATACTTTGCATAACTAAAGAATATCTTAGAGAATAAATGGGAAGAAATTTAATATGACATGCTACAATTACTAAACTAATTGTAACTTTTTTTCTTAGTTCAACGATATATCATAAGGATAAGTGGAAATATGATTGACCTAAGAGATAATTTTGAAGATGCTCTTCAAGTTAACACTACTGACCTGTTACCAAAGGAGGCCAACTCCAAGGAAGCCTTTACATTTAAACCAGGAAATATCCCAGAGGAAAATGCAACCCACATATTCATTGCCATTCAAAGCGTAGACCAAAGCAATTTGACATCAGAAGTGTCCAACATTGCACAAGTGGCTTTGTTTATTCCTCAAGCAGATCCTAGTCCTGATGAAAATTATTACTCTGGAGTTAATGTTTTTGCTGTGGTGTTGTCAGTAGTACTGTCTATTGTAGTTGTAAGTATTATCTTAAGTACCATTATTTGTGTCATAAAAAAGAAAAAATCTTCAAGCAGACTTGGAACAAAGTTTTAAAGAGCCAAATAACACAAGTAAAAGATATTTTAAATTCATCCAGTGAGCTCGTGAATTATAAATAATATTAAGAGGGCTAGAAAAGATATTTTGGTATAAATAAGTACCCCGTGGATATGTGAAAAAACTATTAATACTAAGTTTAATAATTTTTTCACTCATTAATGTATTTATCATAAATAGTGATGAATAAAGATTTTTTATATTGATTTTTAGTTGTGCATTATTTTGCGATGAACTTTTTTTGAAATTATGCTCAAATTTCATAAAGAAGTTAAAATTGGCCAACTGAGTACTCAAAATACATGTGGGAAAAAAGGAAATAATATTTGGGAAGAATTAATTTGGTATTGGTGATATTAGTATTAATTGATGATATTCACTGAAAATCTCCAAATATACACTCTCATTGTTGAGTTCATGTTTACTGCAATTTGTGCTTATGAAGACAACAGTAAAATAAAATCAGATACTACTTGTCAAACCGTAGTTTTTCCTGATTTCAATTCAATATGAATATTAGTCTCTTAATTCTTAAAAGCCACACCTACCTATGTACTTTCTTTTTATCACAGGAATTACTGAAGCTACTATCCATTGACTTTATTTTCAGAGAGAAAACATAAAATATACTTAAAACGTATTTTAATTCATCATTCAGGGTCATAATCCTGGAGTTACAGCCATATTAATGAGTGAGATCAATTAAAGAAAGAATACAATCTTATAAGTCTATCATCAAGCCAGATGTGCTAGAGCCTGCCTCTAATCTCAGTGCTCAGGAGGCTGAGGCAGGATGATCACCTTCAGTTCAAGGCCAGTCTGGGTTACATAGTAAGTTCAAGGCCAGCTTGGACTACATAGTGAGACCCTGTCTAAAAAAAGTAATGAGTCTATCACATGACAATAAGTCTATTGTTGTAAACAATATGGGGTTTTTTTCCTTCCAATTGCTGGTTTTCATACATTGCACAAGGAATTTTACCTCCTTAACCCAACAAGGTACTGGACAGAAACTAAACAAAGGTATCCACTTATTTATTTCCTTAACTCAGTAATTTTGGCAGGAATCATTTGCTGGTTTGTAAGTCAACTAAAATGAAGATCATAGAAGCTGAGCCCAGGGGTCACTTTTAACAATTTTCCAAAACTTGGAAACAGCCCAAGTGCCCATCAACTGGAAACTGGATAAAGAAGATGTGGGGTTTTTTATAAAATGGAGTACTACTCAGCCATAAAGAATATGAAACTAGAGTCATTTATAGCTAAATGGATGCACATTGAGGCCATACTCTTAAGTGAAATAAATAGGACACACATGTGTAAATACCGAATAGTTTCTCTAGTGTGAGAAACTGAAAGTGTAAATAAGGGTTAAAATGATTAAATGGAAATGTGAAATAGGAAGAAAAGATCCAAAGGGACAGGGGAAGTGGGAGGGGAAGGGGAAAGGGAAAGAAGGGAAAGGAAAAATTATGAGAAAAGAAAAAAAAATGGAAACAAAGTCTATGTAAATAGGGAAGGGAGGAGGGGGTCAAGGGCCCACAGGTAATGGGGAAAATATAAGAACCAAGATACATCATGTACAGGCACAAGCACCCAGTGATAAATGTAAACGTATTGTATACCTAAAATGTACCAATAAAAGAATTTAAGGAAAAAGAAAAACAATTTTCCAATGTAGGCTACACTTTGACCTGATACAAGTAATTTGGCTTGATTAACAGTGTTGACAGAAAGGGATTATAGTTTAAAATGTAAATGATAAAAGATCAAGGGAGGAAGAAATTTGTGAGAGACTCCTGATTATCAGGAAGACTGGACTTGTTCCCACAGCATTCAGAGAAGAAGCTGCATACCAGGCATTTGGAGGCTGTGCTTTTGACACAGAAGTTCTAAGGGCAGTGTTGGTTCTTCTAGCAGGTAACACTTGTTCAGCCAGGGCAAAAATGTAGAAAAGGATTAAATGTTAGAAACCTGGCCTTTTACCAGAGAAGAATCAAGGCCTGAAAGTTTTATTGGCAAGAGAACTTAAAAGTCAGAATTTCTGTGTCCTTCCCATTCATCCACCCATAACTCCTATAACAAGTTTAGCAGGCTGGGTATTTCCCTCTCTGACTCTCCAGTGCAATAATTATATTCAGGTGGCTCCAAATAGTGGGCTGTCCCCCTACCCAGGTCAGGGCCTGATGTAGTTCTATTTCTAGGCCTCCTTTGAATAGCTAGGTATGAATAAGTAAGGATAAGAAAAACAAATGTTTATTATGGATGTAATCAGGACAGGATGCATACTTTTCTTTTTGTACATGTTTGCAGTACATAATGATTACATTGATTGGGGGAAGTTGGTCCATGTACATAACACATCTGGATTCTTTTTTCATCACCTTCCCCTCCACTTCCCTCCCTTTCCCTCTATCTCTTAGGCCCCTTCCCTTTGTAAAAGACCTGTCTCCTTACTTCTGGTTATCTTTTCTTTTACTCTTTGTTTTGATTTTGGCTTTCTCATATAAAGGAAACTGGGTGATATTTAAGCTCAAGTGTCTATTCATTAAAATTAACATTATGGTCTCAAGATGCATCCATTTTCTCAAAAATGACCCAGGTTTATCCTTCTTTATGAGAATAGTACTCCATTGTGTATAAATGCCATATTTTCTTTATTCATTCATCTGTTCATGGACTGCTGCTGATTTTTTTCAATGCTGCTTTCAAAATTTAGCTATTATGAATTGTACTATGATAACTATGAGTATGCATGTATTACTGTAATATGATATATTTGCCCTTTTGGAAGGGTCAAATGGAATTTCTATTTTTACCTTTTGAGGTATTTCCATACTGATTTCCCTAATGGTTGCACTAGTTCACATTTCCACCAGCGACATAGAGGGTACCTTTTTCCCTGCAGCTTCTCCAGCATTCATTATTTGATTTTGTCATGAGAGCTATGCTTTCTGAAGTAAGGTGGAATCTACTATGTTCTTTTAATTTGCATTTCTTTAATTGCCAGAGATGTCAAATACCTTTTCATGTATTTATGGGCCACTTGTAATTCTTCTGAGAGATGTCTATCAATTTCAGTTGCCCATTTTTCGATTGGGTCTTTTATTTAGGGAAGTCGATTTTTTAACCCTTAAGAAATGCTAGATATTAGTCCTATGACCTAGAAATAGTAGGCAAAAATATTTTCCCATTCTGTAGGTTGCCACTTTACACTGATGGTTGTTTTTTTGGCTGTGCAGAAGCTTTTCAATTTGAGATTATACCATTCATTGATTCTTGATACTAATTCATGTGCCCTTAGGATTTTGGTCAGAAGGTCCTTGCCTATACCTATGTCTTCAAGAATTTTACCTATTCCATCTTAAAGCAGATTAAATGTTTTTGGTTTTTTTTAAATTTTATTTTATTGGTACATTGCAGGTATACAATATAATGACATTCACCATTGGAAATTTGCACAGTTACATAATCACTCTTGGTTCTTATTTTTTCCCTTTCCCCTGCTGTCCCTTCAAACCCTCCATCCCTCCCTATTTGCAAAGA